GGCCTGCTCCCCCATTCCCTCCCACCGCAGCAAGGGAAGGGCAGGAGCATGCACAGGCCCACTCCTTCCTTCCCCACTGCCATGGTTGGCCTTGCAGGCGGTGACAATGGAAAGGGGGAAGGGCGGGCCAAGGTCAGCGCTGGTGGCCTTGGCCCTCTGCAGCATCCCAACCTGCCGCCCCTGCCGCTATCATTACCTCCAAGGAGCAGGGGGAGGCGGGGGCAGCAAGGCCAGCTCTGGTGGCCTCGCCCACTCCCCTCTGCTCCACTGTCGCCACCTGCAGGGAGCAAGGCGGGGGTGGGGGGAGGCCAGCCTGTTCCGTCCACTCCATTGCCGCTGCCTCCAGGGAGCAGGATGGGGAGGGTGAGGCCAGCTGTGCTGGCCTTGCACCCCCCTGCTCCGTCCCCTGTGTCCCCACCATCGTGACGGCGGACTGCCACCTGTTTGAATGCTTCTTCACACTGATTGGCTGTTTGTCAGCCAATCAGAGTGTGAATAAAGCATGACAGACAGACAGACTTAGGCTTTTATAATATTAAAATAGGCAGTGCGCCTTCCCCATGACCTATCAACAGAGTAAGTAAACCAGTCCACCACTTGCCACTGAAGGTGTGGACAAAAGGACATTTGTGGCTTCAGAGGGGAAGGGAGCTAATACTGCTGCTCAGGAGAATGGAACAGCTGTAAGGCATTAATGTTACGTGTGCAGGAATCTAGAGCATACAAGTGCACCAAACCCACTCTAACTCTAGCCCTGGATGAGTCTGTGTCTTGCAGTGATTTATCTCACTTGTATGACTACAGGCTCATCCATACATAACTGTTATTGCCTAATAGCTGCTGCCTTCTCCTTTTGAAGGGTATGAACAAATTTACACTTTCTTAGCTAGCATACCTGGAACCCCTAATAGCCAAAGTATTAGTACATCTTTTAAAGATGAAATTCTACTATCATATGTACAGTTGGTGTGTGCTCTTCCTGGATGGAATGAAAGAGCACACACCAACTGCAGAGACTTCCTCAGCCTGACGAAGGGTTTTTAAACCCAACAGCTTGTTAAGAAATGTTTTTTCCATCTATTTAAATTGGTCTAATAAAAGATATCAGATTCACCCAAAGAACCTTCCTGGAATTTTTACATTTATTGTTTATAGGAATTGTCTACAAAATATCCCAAATATTGGGTTAAAGTTATCTTTAAATCAAATCCATGACTAAATGCAACAACTGTGGCTTAACCTTCACTTTTTTATCCTATCATGTTAACAAGTGTAAAGCTCCATTTTTCCTGCAGCATAAAAAGCAAGTTATTCAGGCAGTATCATTATGCTAGCTAAGCTTCTGAGAGAGAGAATGCATCAAAAATAGCACAAGCTAGCATAGGAAATCTCACACTGATAAAAAGTTTAACTATGCTGCAAGAGTCTCAGGTCTGCTTTAAAAAACTGTAATGAAATGAAGATTTTTTTTCCAACTGATAACTTACCTTTCAAGGAATTTCGCTGAAGTACACCCACAATAGAAAAACATTAAAAAATAACCCAGGGTCAAACAGTGTGATATAGAAGGCTTCATTTTATTCATAGTATATCTATGAAGAAAATTAAAAAAAAAAAAACAATAGAAAGTTTATCAATTATTTCAGTAGGCAGTGCATGCTAGAAATAAAAACTGAAATGCAAACATTACAGAGATATTTTACTAACTTATACCTGACATTAAACCCAAATCCCAGTTTAATATAGGGATATGCCAAGGTGTGCGTTTGTTTTTGAAGATGTGCATGACTCTGCATGTCCAACAGGTTTCATACTCTACCAGAAACAACCACTCTCTTACCCAGCACACTGTACAAATGTTCAGAAGAGAGTTGGCCACTGACATGGATCAATGTTGAACTGTAATCTGTATATGCACTTATGCTTAACACAAAATCATATTACACATGTGGAAACAATGCTGAGCATTTAATTTAAAACATTTCAACCTAAACATTAGAATTATGTTTAATCAGTCCAAGCTAAACTTTTATAAAAGCTCACTTATCTTCTAGGTGTGAAAGTCTCCTTTTGGCAGATGACAAGCAGAAGGCCTATTAACTTTTTAACAAGAGTTAAAATTAAGTTCTGGCAATAAGCTTTAAGTGGTTCATTTTTGGTCTTCTCTATATTGTGATGTTTCATTCTAAATATTTAATTAAGGGAGGGAAGGGGGAGAAAAAGAGCACGTCGCAGTGAAAAACCTGACATAGGGCATGAGTTTTAAAGAAGCCCTTCATTGTCAAGTCAAACGTTGTCAAGTCAAGAACAAAATGAATTACAGAGGCAAAGCTGCAGACAATTCATTACAAATCAGACTGGGCCTGCCAAATTGGAGACTCAGTTTGAAAGTGCTAAATAAGAAAAAGATTTCCTGGAATCTGTAATAAAAGTGTAACTTTGCTAGTCAAAATTTTTTAAGTTTAATTTTCCCCCCCTCATTAAAACATGACAAAGATTTTAAATTAAAACGGTAAATAATTTTTATAAATTTTCCCTCATGATTTTCCTGCCATCTCTGTAACAAAACAGGAGACTTGGATTTAACTTTATTTCCCTGAGGTCAGTCACATGTCCTAGGTCAAGCATACAAAAATTTAATACCAGATTTCATGACAATACCTAATTTCAGAGGAAGGCACTGTGCAACTACAACTAAATCCTCAAGTAGAAGCTCCAAATTTTGGGGAAACAGATGATGCAAACTGCAAATCAAACTTAAGTCTGGGCAAGAAAAGTCTACTCAGAAGAATCCCAGAGATTATGAGAGCAGGAGACCTATTATAAAACAAAGCGATGTTTAAAATGGCAATTAACTTAGACTGTCGCTACTTTGATCACAGAAGAAATACAGACAACATACATTTCAGCCTGCAAAAAATAAAAAAGGAGTAGATCAGCCTTGGCTCCATCCTCTTTAATTTATTCACATAGATTCAAACTGTGCTTCTCTATCACTGAACAGAACCCGGTTAATCACTATGCACAGGTAAAGTGTCTGCTGAATAGGTATTGGATTCTAATCCTGTTATGCATCTATGGCCTCCATAAGAACATACACCGTATAACACAGAAGCAGATGGGTCATACAAGGCAACACAAAACAGGCGTCGTTTTTCCACTAACAAGCTAGCTCCTCAAACTGAAATGTCTAAATTTCTTCCAAATAGCACTTTTTATATGTGCATTTAGCATCTCTTTGGCTCCAACAGCACTAACATCACAGCAGGATGCTACTTAAAATGCTCGGAAAAAATATTTTCAAAATTTGCATCTCTATTTAAGAAAAGATGAAAAAAACAACCCCCCAAAAACCCAAGATGAGCTGGCTTACTACAGGTCCCTAAACAGAACTTCCTCATTGACCACATCATGATAAAACACAGATCACAATCACCAAATACATAAATTGAGGAAGGAAAGTGTGGTTAGGCCATGAGCCTGACAGGTGAGCTGGGTTCTGGATCCCAGGTCCCAACTACTTGTAAAACCTTGTGCAAGTGTGCACCTCCCTTTTCTCACCTACAAATTATCTACACCTACACCAGGCAGGGGTGTTGCAAGATTTAATCCACAGGTGTTTGAGGCACTAGACTCAATGACTTTTGCAAAAAGCTTCTGACTCAATAAAAAAACTACATAGCAACGTACATGGTACAGTGGGAAGTCAAAGAGAAGCAAATGTATGCGTAAAAGAACATAAGAAAACTGAAATGGACCACTGCTTTTGATTCTGCTATCTAAATTACCCAGGAGAAGTAGAAAAGCATTCACTTGGCCAATTGGACTTTAGAAAAGGGAGGAAAGAAAAGAGCAATGCAGCACCTTGCCAGGGAGCTCATTGCCCCGCTGCTCTAACCTCACTGTGCTTTCTGGTTGGTTTTCTGCATAAAGTGTTAGTTTTGGTTTTAATTTTACGGTTAGTTTTGCCCTACAAAGCAGGTCATGAGTGGTTGCTACCCTAAGGCCAATTCCTACCAACAAAAGCATGTATTGCACCTAACTTTCCGTGCGTTACTAGTCCCACTGAGGCCAGCGGGACTGGGACAACACAGAGACGCCCTTTCCCTTTGCTGTACGTGTGCATCCACACACCGCTGCACGCGGGCTCCCGCTCCCTTTGCTCAAAGCACGTGGAAACGCTGGAAGGAGCTGCGGCCTCCGCTGTGGGGCCGATTTCCCCCTCCTCATCACCTGCCCCCGCCTGCATTGCACTGACCTGCAGGAGCAGCTTTGCCCTATGCCCAGGCAGCCTCCGCGTGCTGTCGTGGTATCCGCAGGACACGGAGAGCTGTAGGCTTAAATAAAAGCAAAACAAACAAGCCACGACAGGGCGTGAGCAAAGAGCAGGGCTGGCCTCAAAAGACAAGGGGGTGAGCCGAAGAGCAGGGCCGGCCTCTGCTGGGAGATCAAACTGGGTACTGGGGGGGTATTTGGCAAGGATTAAACAGTGGGAGCTCCCCTGTGGCCGGCAGCGAGGGGCGAGGGAAGCGCACGTGGACACGCCAGGAAGAGAGCAGCGCCCCCATGCCATGCTGAGAGGGCACGGCCACCACCCCGCTGCCAGATGTGGATGCGGGGGTCAGGGTTCCCCCATCTCCCTTCTCTGCACAGCTGGCAGAGAGCGGAGGCCAGCTCCGCAGCAAAGCCCCAGCCACTACTGCTTACCGGCCTCAGCAGGCGCAAGCGCAGCCCCAGCCACGTCCCCTCCAGCCCGCAGCTGCTTCCGCCAACAAACCCAAGCGCCGCCCCCGAGTCTCCGCCCTCGCCGGGTCCCTCCCGGTGCCTGCTGTGCTCGGCCTCTCCGGCTGCCTGGTGCGGTGGGGCGAGCCTGCCTTCCTTCCGGTGCCCGCTCCTCTCCTCCTGCTCCGGCACGCTCAGTTTCCCCGGGCGAGCACTCCGCTTTGCGAAGGAAGCTCCTTTTGCCCCTTGTCTTCGCACGTCGTTCTCCCCAGAGGGAACCGAAAGCCTTGCAAGGCTGCAGACCTGTCTGGGCAGGCGAGGTTCTTAGATGTGATATCTGAGATGTGAGGTATTATTAGACCAGCTGAGGAGCTGGAAAAATTCTTCTTAGCAAGCCTTTGGGGGGCAAACGCCCTTCGTCAGGCTGAGGAAGTGTCACTCGGGACACTTCCTCAGCCTGATGAAGGGCATCTGTGCCCAAAAGCTTGCTAAGAAGAATTTTTCCAGCTATTTGAGGTGCGCTAATAAAAGATGTTGGATTTACCCCAAAACTTCCCTCAGACTTCTGTGAACAAGGTGCTTGTATGCAATAGACATCAAAAAAAGTTGTACGTGTTTCATTTTTCAATTATTCAAACCTAGGGAGGTGGTAGCAGGGCCAACCCTGTGGGGGACTGAATCGGGGTGACCGCCCCCAGCCCTGTGCTTTGGGGGGCCCCATGGACAGTGCTGTTCGGGTCCTGCCATGGCTGCCACACGCTGCCAGCTCTGCCATGGCCATCACGCACTGCCAGTTCTGCCATGACCACCATGTGCCTCCAACTTCACTGTGGCTGCCATGTGCTGCCAGCTCCATGCTTCAGCTGCTCATCCCCACTCCTGCCACTAGCCACCCCCCGCCCCGCACACCCGTAGGGACAGCTCTGGGTGGTGGAATCACTATCCATGGAAATTTTCAAGAGCAGGTTACACAAAGCCCTTGGGTCAGAAGCGATATTAGACCAACTAAATAGTAGCAAAAAAATTCCTTTCTTTGCAAGACAAGGTTCTTTGGGTAAATCTGATATTTTTTATTAAACCAACTTTGCAAGAGCAGGTTAGACATTTGAGCTGAGGGCTGGACTACTTGACTCCATGAGGTCCCTTCTAGGCTTACTTTTCTATGATTCTAATACGCAACAGGGGTCCTAGGTGGAAGGTGCCCTTATGTGGCACATTTCTGAAGCTGTCCTCAAAAGAGATTCTGCTGTTCATTGGGCAGAGGATTCCTCGCACACATACTCACACTGGTCTCTTGTTCTAGTTACCACAGCCTGGCAGCCCAAGAAGCAAGAGGTGGCTAGCTCTATTAGTCTCAAGTCAGTCAGAAGGTTTGGTAGATATGCACCCTTATAAATAAAATAAGCTAGAGAGAGAGAGAGCACAAGCTTTCCTCAGCTAAAGCTCATTTCATTAGGTGCAGCGGTGAAGAAAATATAAAGAAGGGAGAGAAACCGTATTCGGACAGATCTGCGCATGTGTGCGCGCGCAAGTCAAATCACTACAAAGAAGTCTGTGTATATCACATGCTAAAGCTGGACCTTAAATAGGCAGGGTTGGGTGAGGACTGAACACCAAAAAATGTACAACAAAATCCATTCCAAGACTCCCCTCACAAAAGTGGCTAATCTTAGGGGTCCAAATCTTAAGGGTTTCTTCTCCAAGCACATGCTACTCTGGGAATTGATCTGGCTGCTTGTCCAAGTTTCTCCCAAAGCCACCTCCTCAGAGACAGCTGCATTGTTGTACTAGCTGTCTTTTAGGTGGTCCATCACTTGGGTTAAGGCAATTCCATAATTATTAAGTAGTGATTCTTGTGGTGATTCCATAATTATTCAGGAGTAACTTCTGCTCTGGTTTCCAGGCCCTTTGTCCCGCTTTTTAGATGTCTGTGTGTAAGAAATGTTTGTAATACATCTTGCTTTGTCTTAATAGTATTTTGACTGTTTTGTCTCTTATTTGCCAAGTTCTATAACAATGATTATTTTGATTTAATCTTAATTGTTTGTGAAATACAATAACATTTCTGGAAGGCAGTGGGGAGTACTGTATATGTAAAATGATTTTGTTGGTAACTACATACAATTCTCACGTACCAAACATTACAATATACATTAAAATGAACATAGAGGAACAAAGGAGTGCTGAGACATGAGATTTTGTATAGTGCAAGCTTTACTTCTTTCTTCTAAAGAGTCACAAGGGATGTTGCAAGAGATTACATTCACATGCTAAGAAATTATAGGACAAAAGAACCCAAGAGTTGCAAATCACCACATATCCTGTGCGTCACTTTGGTTAGAAGCTTTCTTAGTGCTGTGACAAATCAGAAAAAAATCCCAGAGTCCACTTCCATTCTAATAACAAATCCTAAACACTAAGCATAAGTATTCATTCTCGTACTTTATGTGGCGTTGAATGCTCTGGGCCAAGTTTCAAACACCCTTCATTAATGCACTTGCAGCATTTGTGGACAGATCGGGTTCCACAGGCAAAACAACTTTATTTGCATGAACTGACTACTTAAGTTCCTGTTCAAAGTTACATTCTCACTGGCTAGGTGAGATTTTTCAGCTGATATTATCCTCCAATTACAGAGTTGGGGGGAAATTAGAGTAGTCTTTTGCCTACCTGCGGATGTTCAGTTTCTCCTAGGAGAGTCACTTCTCTCCCCATAGAAATCACAAGTGTATGGTCACTCATGATTTTTCTTCCTAAACAAAAATGGCTGCTTTGGAAGAAAAATAACTTGGGAGCAACCAAAGTGAAATGGCTTCTGAGAGAACGTCTCTCAGGAGACTGAACGTATGTACAGTATCCGTCCAAGAGAAGCCACAAAGCAGTCATCTGGAATCCCTGCGAGCTCTGCTCTCTGCCCATTCCCTACCCTCACACGGGTCCAGGGAGATGACGTGTTGATCCCAGCCAAGCAGAGAGCAGAACACACCCAGTGAGTGTTTCAGGCTGGAAAAGCCTAACGCCAAAGCACTTAGTGGGTATAGTCTACAGTACTCCCAGCTTTTTCAGCCACAGCCAACCCCATTGTTACCAGATTTGCCCAATACTTTGGGGTGTGCTCATTTATTAGGGATACATTTCCAGGGTCTTGGTAATTCTATTAATGTGCTGCTTGTGTTACTCGTGTTTCTATACGGAGCTGTATCTCTCCCTTCTGCGAGACCTCACCCCCAATGGAGCTATCTTGCAGGACTCAGTTTCAGTGGGGCAGGGTTCCTCCAGTCCCCAAATCAGTCATACACACAAACACACCCAGATTAACGTGACACACCTGACCTGGCCGGGTTGATCAGCATAGACAGGCTGACACCCTCATATGCCAAGAATCAGTTCATCAGAGCAACAATAACTACAGTCAGACACAAGCACACAGTTAAACAGAATACCTCTGAATCTGGCTAGGTGTCCAGATGACACCCTCATGGGCCAGCATTCAGTTCATTAGGGCACGTCTGAGCCAAACTGGGTCAATCAGCCTGTACAAGCTGATCCCCCTTAATGTTTCAAACTCAGCACGTCCCAATCTTTTAGCCTCTTGATGAGCAGAGCCCACAGTACTTTTGGGCTTCACAGGGATCTTTAGCTTACGTAAAAGAAGCGTTGATGCAGAGCAGGTGCGGAAGAAGTAAAGAAGGAAAAATATACCCAGTTACCACCAGTTTGACTAAAAAGTTATTTATTGCTAAGTATATGAAATATATAAT